TATTTACTACTTACTGCCGTGGAGTCGATTCCTACGATCTTGGGTTTTCTGAAGTGTATCTCTACAGAAGTACATTGCCCAGTCTTTCTTCCAAGGAGTGGCTGGTGGGTCGAACCACCAGCCTTCTGGTCATGTCAAAATCTAGGAGTCTCTGAGTGGTGCAAATGGTTAATGCACTTAGCTATTTACAAAAGATTGGAGGTTGAAGGCCACCCAAAGGCACCTTGGAAGAAAGGCTTAATGATCTACTTCTAAAAACAGCTATTGAAACACAGTTCTCTGACATAAGTGGGTTATGATAAATTGGAATAGACTTGAGGGCAACTAGTACTCCCCCCCCCCTAAAAAATCCCAAAATCTAGCCCTCAGATCTCTAGCTTTTTTTTTTCCCCCCTTAAAAAATCCCAAAATCTAGCCCTCAGATCTCTAGCTTGCTGCCCAGAGCTCTTCATAATATATCACAATACCTTTTATTTTCTGATAAGTTTGTGTCTTCCTTAGCTTGGAAACCTCCAAATAGCAGGGACCTAATCTGTTCATATAGATGCTTAATCATGGCTCCTAGATAAATCTGTAGGATATATACAAATTCATCACATAAATTCAAAGGAACTTAGATTCTTTCCCAGCAAAAACTTTCTTAGTTATCCTTCCATCACCAATTTTACCACTGATCTCCCCCTTACCAGTTGCCATAGAGTCAATTCCAACTCATGGGAACCCCATGTGTGTCAGAATAGAATTGTGCTTCATAGGGTTTTCATAGCTGTGACCTTTTGAAAGCAGACCACCAGGCCTTTCCTCCAAAGCACCTTTAGATGAATTTAAACCTTTCAGTTAGTAGCCAAGCACTTAACGGTTTGTACCACCCAGGCCTGGATACCAAAGATCCTCTCTCTTTTTCCGTTTACTATTTCCTCAGGTTAACCATCAGGTTAACTGATGGTTCACAGTCCTGCTATCCTGAGGAACTGATTTAGCAAGGGAAAGGAGAATGTCCAGCAGTCAGTGCCCACCAGTCAGTCAATGCCCACCAGTCAATCACAGGCCCAGGAGCTTGACATTGACAATCACAAATAAATAGAGGAACTCAAGATCAAAGAATAGTCCTCACTGACAGTATAAGGGTATCACTTCAACTTGTATAAAATTGCCTGCTAGCAGAAAGAAAGTGAATCCTGGAAAGTTAACCCTGGAAAGAATCTTAGAGATCACCTTCTTCTATTGCTGGTTTTCCCAAACGAGGAAACTGGAGCTAGTTAATAGCAGGGTTGGCACTAGACTCTTCATCTCCTCCTTCTAAAACAATTGTTCTCTCCATGCTATACACTGACAACATAAACCCAAAACCAAAGCCATTGCCTTTGAGGGGATTCTGACTCATAGTAACCCTTTAGGACAGAATAGAACTCCCCCATAGTGTTTCCAAAGCTGTAAATCTTTACAGAAACACTCTGCATCATCCTTCCACAGCTAAGTGGCTGGTGGGTTCAAACTGTCGACCTTTTGGTTAGCAGCCAAACACTTTAACCACTAGGCCACCAGAGCACCCTACAGGCAACACAGTAGCTGATAAAATGCATCATAAAGTAGCCTCATCTTAAGCCATTTAAAAAGCAAAACAAAACAATATGCCATTGAGCCAATTCAGATTCATAGTGACCCTACAGGACAGAGTAGAACTGCCCCACAGTATTTCGAAGGCTATGATATTTACAGAAGCAGACTGTGACATCTTTCTCCCACCATATCTTTCTCCTAAAGATGGTGGTCTGAACTGTCAACCTTTCAGGTTAGCAGCTGAGCTGCTTAACTACTGCAACACCAGGACTTCTTAAGGCATAGGGAATGTTGTTGTTGTTGTTATGTGCCCTCGAGTAGGCCCCGGACTCATAGCGACCCCTCCTTGGGTTTCTGAGCTGTATCACTATGGAAATAGATTGCCCAACCGTCCTTTCAAGGAGTGGCTGGTGGGTTTGAACCGCCAGCCTTCTGGTTAGTAGTCAAGTCTCTTAGGCACTAAGCTACCAGAGCTCCTAAGGGATTGTTGTTGTTGTTGTTATGTGCCCTAGAGTTGGACTCGACTCATAACAACCCCTCCTTGGGTTTCCGAGGCAGTATCTCTACGGAAGTAGATTGCCCCATCTTCCTTCCGAGGAGTGGCTGGTGGGTTTGAACCTCCAGACTTCTGGTTAGCAGTCAAGTGCCTTGGGCACTATGCTACCAGAGCTACCAGAGCTCCTAAGGGATAGGGAATAAAAAATAGATAATTCAGAACCTTCCTCTTCTGGCTGGACATTATATATATATATATTTCCCTTTGCATTTCTGTTTGTCTTTTTATCCCTCTGAAGTTTCTCTCTGTGAATCCTTCTATTTGGGGTTTCAACTTGAACGATGGCATGCCTGCATGATTCTTTTGATTTTACTTCTCTGAGCTACTGAGTTTCCTGTTCAAAGGCAAACATGCATAACCCAATCAAGATTCTTTCTTGGTGACCTTTGTGGAAAAGAACACTAGAATTTCTGTATGGAAGATGCTGGACCTCCCTCCTAGCCCATCCAGTCAATTAAAATGAGTCTCTGGTCCCCCAGGAGGGTTGTTAACCAATCTTGAAAAAGAGGAAAATCAATCTCATTTCTTCGTCACTACTGTGCAGGGAGGCTGCTAACCAGTCAGAATATGCCAGTAGCAGTCATTAGAAATCCCGCCAATCAGGCCAGTCTTCTTACATGGTCTGGCAGGGAAAGAAAGAGATTGATTGGAAAGGATAGTTCTGACTCCACACCCTTCCCTTCCTGGGCACAAGATTTTCCTCAGTGAAATGAAGGCAGGATCATTCCCCAAGATCATGGTTAGAAAGATCCCTAGACTCTCAGCCTAATCTTCTCTTGGTTCATTTTTGTTGTTTTCAAATTCACCCATCCCTCACATACCTCATCTACATTTTTGTAGTCTTACTGCTCCCCTTCAAATCTTGCTTCAGACTCTGTAGCAATAGCCCCCAGGATTTTCAACCCTCCCCAGAGATCTTCACCCAAAAACTTGTCAAATAACTTGTTTTGTATAATTCATGTAGGAGAAAAAATTCGGTGAGTGATAGTTGAGTCTGTTTCAGGAGACATCATTGCAGGGAACTTGCAAAGAACAGTCTTGAGGGACCAATACAGAACTGAGTTGCAATGATCCAATAGTAATCATTGCTACCGCTCCTTGGAAGGGAGACTGGGCAATCTACTTCTATAGAGATCCAAAAACCAACTTCCTGCAGTGATTTTAGATCCGACTCATAGTGCACCGCCTTGGGCTTCTGAGGCAGTTATCAGTATGGAAGTAGATTGCCCAATCTTCCTTCTGAAGAGTGGCTGGTGGATTTGAACCGCCAGCCTTCTAGTTAGCAGTCAAATGCTTTGGGTACTAGGCCACCAGAACTCCCTCCATAGAGATACTGCCTCAGAAACCCAAGGAGGGGTGCAATGAGTCAGAATTGACTCCACCGCAGTGAGTGTTTGTTTTTGCCTTTGGATTGACTAACAAGGAGCCCTGTCCACACAGTGTTTAAGCAGCTCAGCTGCTAAAGAAAAGATTGGCTGTTAGAATCTACCAGCTGCTCCATGGGAGGAATATGTGGCAGTCTGCTTCTCTAAAGATTACAGCCTTGGAGACCCCATGTTGTTGTTGTTAGCGCCCTCCAGTCGGCTGCGACTCATAGCGACCCTATGTACAACAGAGCGAAACACTGCCCGGTCCTGTGCCAGCCTCACAATGCTTGCTATACCTGAGCCCACCGTTACAGCCACTGTGTCAATCCATCTTGTTGAGGGCTTTCCCTTTTTTCGGTCCTATAGAGTCCCTGTGAGTCTAAATTGACTGGATGGCAGTGAGTTTGGTGTTTTGGTTATTGGGTATCAAGCACTTTGATGTTGTCCCACTATTCCAATTATTACTCCTAATTTACATAAAAGGAAATCGATTTAGAGAGGTTAAACAGCTTGCCTACGGGCACACAGCGACTTGAGAATGCAGGTTGGTCTAAATCCGGAGCCCACCACTATTAAGGCAGAGAAACAGTGCAGGTTGTAAAAACTTTTGGGAGGAGCCAGCTTTAGCTTCCTCGCAGGCCAGCTCCTCAATGCTCTTTTGGGATTGCTGGCAGTATCGGAGAGAGGTCTTAATTATCACGCAACAAACTGCAACAACCGTTTTGTGGTGGCGCCTCCTAAGAATTGTGGACTTTTTGTCTCTTAGAATGTAAGCTAAGAGCCTAAGGGACTTCATTATGCGAGAGGTGAAGTGGTCTGGGAACCTCAGGGGATAAACTCTTAAGACCCTTGCTAGCCTGTCTTCCCTTTCTCCTCACAACATGTTACACGTTGCTTGGCGTTGCTTAACCAAACCAAACCAAACCGACTGCCATCGAGTTGATTCTGACTCAGTGACCCCACTGGGTTTCTGAGGCGGTCAATCTTTACGCAAGTAGATCGCCCCGTTTTCCTTGCGTTGAGTGTCTGGTGGGTTTGAACAGCCAACCTTCTAGCAGGCAAATGCCTTAGGCAGAGAAACAGCGCCACCAGAGCGCCTTTGGCACTGCTTGGTACTTGGTAAATACCTGTTGATTGATTGATTCCCAAGGATTCGAGCTCCATTCCTCAAACACCACCCCCGCTCCCGGTACCCCTGTCAACGGTTAAGAACCAGAGAGAGATCTGGGGATTTCAGGGGAACCTGTGAGAACCTTAAGGGAGCTGGAATCTTGGATTTAAGGAACATGGGAAGTCCCCTACTCTTCTCTCCTCGCCTGCTTCTCCTATCTCCCCACTCCTAACCCTCCCTTTCAGGAGCTTAGGGCCATAAAAATGCAGATGGAGGATCGGTGTGAAATAACGGGCCCATATAAATCCCTCTGCCGCCCGCCTGCAAGATGGATTGGCCGCATTGAAATTCCTCCGCGAGGATAATTAAACTCGGGGCCTCATCCGGGCAAAATTACATTCCTGTAATGGCGTCGCTCGGGGTCCCGGGAAATTGCTCCGTGGGCTTTCAGCGGCGGTTTTTATCGTCGGCCGGGGTGTGCCTGGCTGCGGCTCGCCTCTCCTCCGGGACCGTAAAGCTGCTGCCGTGATTTATCCTCCCCTTCTCCCAAATCCGATTAAATGGAGGAGCTCGGGGCCGGGGCGCCGCGGGGCCCGGGAGCCGGGAGGGGGCGGCGGGAAGGACGGGGCCAAGGAGGGGAGGACAAACGGCCCCTCAGAGGGTGGCGGATTTGGCTTTATTTACAGCCGCGGCTTTCTTTTTATTTTTTATTTTTTATGGGGGTTTAGTGAGCTTTTCCCGTCTTTCTCGTGCTGCCTTTCAAGTACGATACCCGGATGGCTGGGTTTTGGACAGGAGGGAGAAACTGGGTAGGCCTTGTTGCCCTTTTCTTTCCAAAGGATCAGTCAGACTCTGGGAGACAAAGTGGTTTAGAGGAAGAGGTGTGGGCCAGGAAACCTCCCCCCCACACACACACACACACTTCCTTCCATCAAGGAAAGAACGAGCGAAAGGGCACGCGGGAGAAGGCAAGGGGACTTTCATGAAGGCACCTCTTGGGGTGCCCACTTATCCTAACGCGTAGGTGAGGCCTGGACAGAGGCGTGGGCATGTCTGGGGTGACCTCGTAACCTAAATGCAGATCACAGGTGCCTGTTACTCCTTGACTGTCCCAGGACTCAGGAAAGAAGGCTTAGGATCAGGGTGCCTTGGCTCTCAGTCATCTCTAGTCTATGTCTTCTGGCTCGCTGCTGCTCGTTTCCTCGTAACTGATTATCGGAATAAGAGAACGAGAAAAAAAAGAGGAAGTCACCAGAGGTAGTTGGAGCATTTTGCCGACTATTCGTCCACTGAACGCGTTTCCCGTCCAAAGATGTGCGGGTCCCGTAGGCAATGGAAGGCAAAACTCCAGTGGCTATATTTTCCTCGTTACATTTTTTTTTACTCGTTACATTTTGGATAGTAAATCTCAATTCTGATTTTATGCTATTTAACACCGATTTTTTTTTTTTTCTTGCAATGTGACTGCGCATGCTCGCATAGGGGACGCGCGTCAACGATTCAAACTCCGTGCGGACACAGTCGGCTCCGCCTGCAGTTTCTCTTCTCCAACACCAGGTGGAGCGACTGGCCGGACGAAGCTACCGAGGTGGCGGGCGGCGCTGTAGCGCCCGGGCGGACCCTCTACGTTTCAGTCTATCTTTGGCGGAGCAACTCGTTGGCCCGGGTTGCGCATGCGCTGAGCTTTACCTCCCGCTATCTCCGCCCCCCTCCCCTCTCTGTCTTCTCTGCACTAGGAGCAGGTAAGGCCTGTTGGGCCTCGCGGCCGATTTGCGCCGCGCAGGCGCGCGGGGCACCCTACCTCGCGCGGATGCTTTGAGGCCCTTACGGTGCATGCTTCCACCCGGGTCCTGTCACCCTGCCTGGCTCCCGGTATTCCCGCGCTTTAGGACTGCCCCTCCCGCGTGCCGGTGACCTCTAGCCGCGCGGGCCTGGCGCCATCTTGGATGTCTGTCGCGGGGGGGTGGTTCTTTGGAGCAGGCGAAAGTCAAGTCCCGGGTTCTCATTTTCACCTGTTCAGACTCAGCTCTCGCAGTATACTTTTCTCACCCTCTTGCCCTTTCAGAGTTGTCACAGCCCCAAGCTCTCCCTTATTTTTGCGTTCGCTCCCCCAAAGACTGTCGGCCCCAGAATCTCAGGTGCCCCGAGCAAAGGAGGTAGTGAATCATATAGACCTGCAATCCTCAGTTTAAAAAGGAAACCTTGAATAGCAGAAGTGAGCAGAACAGGCAGAGCACCCTTCCTTCAGACAGTGGCCTCGGAGAGCTAAGGCAGAAAAGAGGGGCTTGTATCGTTCTCTTTCCTGGCAATCCAGTGAAGTTGGAAAAGCACACAGTTGGTGGACTTGAGAAGTAAGAGTTTCTGTTAGCGGTATTAGGTCCAGAACAGCGGGGCTAGGGGCAAGCTGATGGTGCCAGCATGGAAGAATGTCCACTTGTCAGCTTAACCTGTCGAAGGTTTATTAACCTCCCAGGGTTCACTCTCAAAAGGAAAAGATTTAAGAAGGGAAAGAGAGCTATGATTATTTAGGAGCTCTGATTCTACGTAGTGCCCAGGGTGTTGAAGGCTAACAATTGCAGACTTCAGGGTTAAACAACCAATAGAGGGACGTGTACCTCACTCCAGGTCCTATCAAAAAACCAAGCGCATTGTTGTCAAGTTGATGCCAACTCATAGTGACTCTATAGGACAGAGTAGAACTGCCTCATAGGAATTTCAAGACTATAAATCTTTATGGAAGCCATAGAGTGGCTGGTGGGTTGAAACCACAGAATTTTTGTTAGCAGCTGGCTTAATCACTGTACCACCAGGGCGCTACTACACCTCACTTAGGCTCCCTTGTCATCCTTATTGTGGCCTTATTACATGCCAGCACCACCTTAAACTCTTTATATATATATATATATATATATATAATTTAATCCTCCTAAGAATCACATGTTACAAATAAGAATATCAAAGTTTAATTGCCTTAGGGGAAAAAAAAATTCATTATTTTTTTAAAGCTTTAAAGAAGTTTTGTTTTTTCCCCTAAGAAAACCTAAGTAAAACAACAGCAAAATTGGATTTGATTTACATATGCACAGAAATCAGAGTTGTAGACAGGCAAAAATTAATGTAAAAGTAACAAGCTCTGAGTTCAGTAGTGTTACAACTAGGACAATATTGAGTACAACTCATTTAAGGAAGTGGCATTTTAACAGGCCAAAGTAATTACTGAGTATTTCAGCCTAAGATTTATTAGAAAGCCTATTATTTTTAACTTAATGAGAAGATCTGAGTTCAAGTTCTGGCTCTAGCACTGTCAGAGTCTCAAGATTGGCTTTAAACTGTGGCTCCCAAAGTTAAGTATACATACGAGTCATTTGGGAAGCTTGTTCAAAATGCAGGTACTTGGACCTTATCCCCGGAGATCCTGACCAGTCAGTCTGAATTGGGGCTCAGGATTTGTGTTTTAAATACATGTGCATCCCTAAATGATTCTGGTTCACGTAGATCTCTCACTTCACTTCGAGAAACCTTTCCTTGATCTTTAGCTCTCACCCTGTCTCTTCTCTCAGATAAGCTTAGATCTACCAGCTTAGGCACCTACTGGGTATCAGCTACATGTTGGGAATACAAAATTGAATACCTCTTAGTGTGATGATTAAAATGAATAGTTTAATAGTCATTGCTAATTGGAGTAATGCAGAGTTTCTCACTGATCAGCCTTACCCTATGAATACAGGAAATAGAAGTGTTTTAAGCAATAAAATTCTTCCCAGGTAATTCAGTGAAAAAGATTGTTGGAGACCTTCCAGTGTCTTAGCCTTCAACAAATATCCCCCAGTTTTTGAATTAATAGGCTTTTAAAAGTCCAGGCAATGAGATCTTAAAAAGGGTTCCTTTTCAGTAGGAACTAAGGAAAACTTAGGCAAAGGATACTCTGGGAAACTGCCTCTGAAAATCCCAATTTATGAGGCTATGGGAATGGATAATTAGTCTTAAAGTTACCATTAAGTAGCAACTTGTTCAGGCAAGGCAAGGTCGTTTGATTATAAGGAAGTCTTGGAAACGGGTTTTTGAATAAAATCATGACTTCAGGTTCTAATTCCATCTCTGCTGATGACTCAAGGTTAGTTTTTCTACTCTGGACCAATTAAATTTTCCAGAGCATGTTTTCTGCTAATGAGAATATAGTTTAGGGAGGACAGTTTTTACAATGCTGCTTCTCTAATTCCAGCTCTCCTACCACAGCCCCTCATCCCCTGAAAATGTATGGCTGCGCCAAATTTGTCTCCACCCCTTCCCTGGTGAGTACCTGCCTTTTATAGGAGCCTAATTTGGGGTATCTTGTCTCTTCTTTGCTGTCAGACCTTGTTCCTCACAGTTGGGCTGGGGAAAGTGAGAGATTTTTTGGAAAGGAAGGCATTTGCTCTGGTAGCCTGACAGGAGAGAGAGAATGCTTACCAGATACCCTCTTTTTAAAAAAATTTTTGCAGTGTTCCTTCCCTTCACCTCCCACCCCTGGTAACCAACAAAGAAAATTTCCTTCCATATATAAACCTTTCTTTGACTTTTTACAATAATGAACTAATACGATATTTGTCATCCTGTGATTGACTTATTTCACTCAGCATAATGTCCTGTAAGTTAATCCACATTATGCAGAGTCTACATTATTCTTTAGTGTTGCATAATACTCCGTTGTGTGTATGTACCATAGTTTGGTTATCCATTCTTCTGTTGATGGGCACCTAGGTTGTGTCCATCTTTTTGCTATTGTAAATAGTGTTGTGATGAACATGGGTTACCAGATAGCCTCTTAACCCACATTCCTTGAAGGCTAGTTAATGCCTCTCATACAGCCATCTTTGAAGGAGCATATAGATGAAAATAAGGAGCTTTGGTGGTATAGTGCCTAAGGCATCTGACTGCTAAACAGAAGGTTGGTGGTTCAAACTCCATTGAAGGAAGATAGGGCAATCTACTTCCATAAAGATACACCGCCTCGGAAATCCAATGATCATCGTTGTGTTTTGGAATCAACTCAATGGCAGTGGGTTTTTTTTTTTTTTTAAAGAGATGAAAATGTAAACCAAGATAAGATTATCTAATCCTGAAACTGTTCCTGTGTACATGTCTTGGTGGATATGACATAGGCTGTATCACTTGAGCAGAGTATTGAATGCAGAATCTTGTCCTGAGAGTTGGAAAGGAGAGCCACAGCTAGGAGTTTCCTGTGGGAACTTAAATTTGGTTGAAAAGCTAAAATACACATAAATTTATATTGGGAAGATATTTAACTCAGAAGCAGCAACGTGGAAGAAATGCCAAATTAACAGATAATGGAGGCACTTGATTAATAGATTATAAATGAAAAGGTTTGATGCTATTAGTAGGTCCCGTTTATTGAGCAGTTATCATGTGTCTGGCACTGAGTTTACCAGTACATTATCGTTGCTTCTCAAATCAACTCTGGGAAATGATATTCTCATTTCACAGATGAGGAAACAGGCTAAAGGAAATTAAAAATCACTTACCCTGAGATCATACAGTTGATACAGAGCTGAAATTTGAATCTATATATATCTGACTTGAAAGTCCTGGGTCTTGTCTTGTATATTATCTGGCTTGGAGTCAGAAAAGACTACCAGGGGAGAATTTTGAGCGTGAATCTTTGTGTCGGTTTACCAGAAGGATGTGTTCAGGGAAAGTGCCCCTTTCTGATCTAATCCTTGGCCTCCTTCTTACAGGCTGGCCTCAACAATGTGTATTTCTCCCTTGTTGAGTAAAACAAATGTTTCTGAGCATAGGTTTTTTTGATTACTTAAGGGCTATGAAAGTGTACATTGAGGGTGAGTAAACCTTTGTGGCCCAAAAGGAGGTAAACTTTGTTTCCGTAAAGCAAAGAAGCCTGGGAAGCAAGAGAAATGACATTGTTATTAAATCTAGAATTAGCTAAAATTAAGAATGATCCAAGATTCTGATTTAAGTGTGAGAGGATGGAAGAGACATCAGAGGAAAGAAGATCCTATCTGTTGAGGTCGGTAATAACTTAGCATGGTTCTGAAACTCCTCTATAGCCTTCCCTAATCTTCCTGCTCTTGCATCATTCTCACTAGGTCAGGAGCACCTCTCAGTTGCTGAGCCGACCATTGTCTGCTGTGGTACTGAAGCAACCTGAAACACTGACAGATGAGGTGTGTTACAAGTATAGTTGGGCCTGTGGTTTGGGTGACAAAAGTGGGGAGGGTTACCTGCTAGAACCAGTAGGGGGAGTGTCGAGGACAATAATCATAAACCAAAATTAGTGAAAGATCAAGGCCACTGGCTTTAGGTGCTGAAGAGCACTTAATACCATATATACTGTGGTATATCAGCTGTGTGAATAATGATGTTATTGTTGTTATGTGCCATCGAGTCAGCCCCAACTCGTAGTGACTCCTCCTTGGGTTTCCTAGGCAGTATCACTATGGAAGTAGATTGCCTCATCTTTCTTCCAAGGAGTGGCTGGTGGGTTTGAACCACTAGCCTTCTGGTTAGCAGTCAAGTGCTTTAGCCACTACGCTACCAGAGCTCCAGGTTGGGCATTCCTACTTCCGTAGTGATACTGCCTCGGAAACCCAAGGAGGGGTCACTATGAGTCGGGGCCAACTCGATGGCAAATAACAACAACAATACTGTGGTATACCAGCTTTTGCCACTGGCATCATGTGCTAATGTGTGCTGCTAATAACTACCATTGCTTGGCCTAGTTTACTGACTTTGATTGAGAGCGTCTAGTCCCGAGAAGATCTCAGTGCACTAAGAATAGCCAGGGTCTCTCAGTCTTCAACATCTAGACTAATCTACCTCCTACATTAAGCAGTTCTGTTTGACAGCATTTTAAGGCATTTTCCAGGAGGCAAATGATGTTCAGTTTAGGGGAGAACAATGGGATTTGGCAGTATAAAGGGTTTAAATAGTACAGAAGTCTCCAAAGCAAAAGGTTTCCCTAAAAATTTTACCTTCCACCTACCTCTTCACAGAGCTTCAGCAGTTCAACAGCCCCACGTTCCCTGACCTCACTTATTCCTAGTCGCAGCTTCCAAACAAGTGCCATTTCAAGGGACATCGACACAGCAGCCAAGTTCATTGGGGCTGGGGCTGCCACAGTTGGAGTGGCTGGCTCTGGAGCTGGGATTGGGACTGTCTTTGGGAGCCTCATCATTGGTTATGCTAGGTAAGATAAGTTGGTTCCCCTGCTTAGCTTTTCATTGAATTTAACTTCTAATTAATTGAAATTAGGTAAAATTTAAGATTTCAGTCTCTTAGTCATACTAGCCACATATCAGATGCTCAGTGGCCATAGGTTGGCTCTTTCATGTTGAAATGTAAATATAGAATATTTCTGTCACTAAAGAAAATTCTGTTGAACAGCTTTGGCAAACTAAGACCCAAGGGCCAAATATGCTTTTGTATACCTGTACAATCTGAACTTTTAACGTTTTTAATGGTTTTTTATTTGTTTTGTTTTAAATTACACAACAGAGACTTCAAATGCCCACAAAGCCTAAAACATTTACCTTCTGGTCCTTTATCTAGAAAGTTTGTGATCTCCTGGTCTACAGCCTCAGTCAGCATGTTAACCTCACTACTGTTTTTTTTTTTTGCCATCCCCAGGAATTCCCTTCTGTCACTCCTGGGAAGACTGCCTCTGCAGCCAGCCCCACTGGTCCCTTAAACTTGGGACCATTTGGTCCCTGCTTACATTGGGTAACTTGTTAGAACTAAATTAATCCTTTTGAGACCAGCAAGTTCTCTTAATGTCTTTAGGGGAATAGATTTATTTTTCAAGATTTGTATGAAACAAGAAGCCTGACTGCTTCTGTGTTCACAATTCTGATAAAAGTTGATGGTGCTTTACCTTAGCCATCAGGCCTCCAGAGGTGTCAAAAAAAAAAAAAAAAGCCCACTGCCATTGAATCAATTCTGACTCATAGAAGTCCTACAGGACAGACTAGAACTGCCCCATAGGATTTCCAAAGTTCTAGATCTTTATAGAAGCAAACTGCCTCATCTTTCTCCAGTGAACAGCTGGTGGGTCTGAACTGCTGACCTTTTGGTTAACAACCAAATGCCTTTAACCACTGCACCACCAGAGCTTCCTGAGGTGTCAGAGTGAGGGAAATACTAATTATATATTGATCTTCAAAGTTGGGAGTCTTTTTTTGAGTATTTTGGAATGAAGAGAAGAAAGGTAGTTCTGTCCCTGTGATTCTCCTTGTCCTCTAGAACAGTGGTTTTTTTTTTTTTTTTTTTTAATTGTGATTTGGGTGAAAATTTACAGAGCAAATTCACTTTCCATACAGCAGTTCACATACACTTTGTCTCATGACATTGACTACAGTTTACCACAATGCAACAGCATCCCTCCCACTTCCTCCCAACAGTTACCTCTTCCCTGTGTCCATCCCTCCATGCACTCCTGCCCCCTGAGCTGCCTCCCTGGGCATACACAGCCTTCTTTCTCCCATGATTATTCTCTCCGAGGAGTGTATCTACCTCAGGTAAATGTTCAACTCATGTGCCTGTCTTTTGTTTGGCTGGAAGCCACAGGTGTGGGTTCAATTCCAGACCTGAAGGGCAGCCAGGGGCCGTAGTCTCAGTGGTTCCACCAGGCTCTATCGGACCAGCAAACCTGGTCCTCCCCCCCCTTTTTTTTCCTCCAAATGATTTTGAGTTTTGTTCCACATTGTTCTCCCTCTCCATCAAGGATCTCCTACATATATCCCCCTCCGAGTGGTTGACAGTGGTAGCTGGGCACCATCTAGTAGAACAGTGTTGTTTTGTATATTGTTTTTAATTATGTTCCATAAAATGCTAGGATTCTGAGGATGTCTCCTCCAAAGATTAGACTGTCTTAGAGAATGAGGGGAGGCCAATCAAACAGGCCTTTAAAGTCCCTCACTTTTTATGTGTTTCATACTTTGAGGTTCTGCTGCTTAAAGTTTGAAAACCCTACTCTAGATAGACCCTGCTACTCTGGATGCCTCTGCCATCCTAGTTGGGCCCTGGATATTAAGTGTCCAGGCCTAGAGGTCTTAAGTTATGATGGTGATGTGGCTGATTCATTAGAGGATTTAATGTTTATACCTGGGCCATGTCAAAGGATTTTGGGTAATTCATGTCCATCACTCAGTCCCTATAGAACCTTTGGTGTGTCAGGGCAAGAATTTGAGCATGATGGTATCGTAAGATGAGTTCTAGGATGGGAATTGTCTCTGAGCCTGCCTTTAATGTTTGTCCTTTTGTGTGTGTGTGTGGACTAGAAATTCAGTCTTTTCTCCTTCCCTTCTTCCAGGAACCCTTCTCTGAAGCAGCAGCTCTTCTCCTACGCCATTCTGGGCTTTGCCCTCTCGGAGGCCATGGGGCTCTTTTGCCTGATGGTGGCCTTTCTCATCCTCTTCGCCATGTGAAGGAGCCATCTCTGCCCTCCCACAGTTCTTTTTCCCGTGTATTGTCTACCATATATGTTCCTTTCCTTGTACCTCCCCAGGCAGCCTGGGGAAAGTGATTGGTTCAGGGTTTGACAGAGGGAAGATAAATAAATACTGTATTAATAAGATGTTTCTTGAGCCTTCTATGTATATTTTTTTCCCACAGTTGGCTAAGTGCCTTGAGAAAACAAGGCCTGGAGGGTAGTGATGGTTCTAAAATCAACATGGGTCTGGGGGAAAAAAAATACAGTCAACATGAGCCTGGGCTCATTTGTTCCTTATTCTTTGCTTTGCTGTTGTTGTTGTTGTTTGCCGTCAAGTCGGCTTGACTCATAGCAACCCCTCCTTGGGTTTCCGAGGCAGTATCACTACGGAAGTAGGATTGCCCAACCTTCCTTCCGAGGAGTGGCTGGTGGTTTTGAACCGCCAGCTGTCCGGTTAGCAGGCAAGTGTCTTAGCCACTATGCTACCAGAGCTCCCATTCTTTGCTTTAGGGAACCTCTATTCAAATAAACCCTCCATTTTAATAATTTTGACCTGGCATGGCCTGTTACTTGCCTTGAAGGATTGGGTTAGTAGCAACTTCAGGGTTGGCTTAAAATACTGACTACTGTTCTTAGGTGTTGACTACTAGACTCTCCATTTCCACTGCCACCCTCCTGGCTTAGGCCCTTTTGCAACCCACTTGGTTTATTGCTGTAACATCTTAACTGGCCTTCTGCCTGCAATCCCTGTAGCATTTACTTCTACTCACAACTGCCAAGCTAATCCCCTACACATAGAACTGCTCTTGTCATTTACCAATCCAGAAAACCCAGAGTGGACTGTTTTGTCATTTTTCAAAAACTCTGCACACTTTCCTATTCATATTATACCTTCCAGCCTTGCCCATTTCCGATTTATCTTCCTAAATAATCAGTCTATAGTAAATTGGTCTGTACTAACGTGTGTGTGTGTGTGTGTGTGTGAGTGTGAGTGATTTGCCTTGCAAATTAGATTTTTGGTTTCTTGAGGTGGGGACTATGTTATTCTCATCTTTGTATCCCTGTGAGTATTATGATGCATCCAACATAGCAAGTGCTTAAATTTTTATTTCATCACCCAATACAACCCCCTGCCTTCACAAGTGAGGAAACCGTTTGAGATGGAAAAACATTAATTGGCAGAGCTGGAACTAGAGCCGGGATCCGGAATATGAGACTACCACACTATTGGTCTTCTGTGACTCTCCCCAACCTGATTATCTCTCATGATTGTTAACATTTTCCCAAGCAAGGAAGAAGGGGCATAGTAACCCAAAAGAAATGTTTTATAAATTCCTCAAGAGGGACTTTGTCAGACTGTGAAGTCAGTATAAAGTCAAGAAATTACATCTAAAACAGAATAGGAAGAGGAATGTGGCCAGGTCCACTTCTGGGGAGGGGAAGAAAAAGGCCACTAAAAACTTTATGGATAGCAGGGAAACAATGTCTAATACAGTGCCAGAAGCTGAGCCCCTCAGATTGGAAGGCACTCAAAATATGATGGGAAAAGCTGCTGCCTCAAAGTATTGTTGACCTTAGTAACAGGGATGGAGTAAAGCTTTCTGGACCTTTGTTTGCTGATGTGGCATGACCCAAAATGAGAAGAAACAGTTGCAGACATTGATTCATAATCAGAATGTGGAATGTATGAAGTATGAATCCAGGAAAACTGGAAGTTGTCAAAAATGAAAATGGAGTGCATAAAGATCAATATCCTAGGCATTAGTGAGCTGAAATGGACTGGTATTGGCCATTTTGAACCAGACCATCATATGGTCTGTTATGCTGGCAGTGGTAGTTAGGATTGTGTGTCAACTTGGCTGAGCTGTGGTTTTGTGGTTTGGCATCTGGGTAGTTACTCCCCATGATGAAATTGTAATCACCGCCATGATGGAATCTGCTGTGAGCACCTAAACAGTTGAAGGGGAGTTGCCGACACCATGTGACCTGCTTCCAGCATATATGGAGAAGCTTTGAGAAAGGTCTCCACCTTTGGCACATTTTGGATCCTGCGTTTGGCTGAGTCTTCATCTCCAGTTCCTAGACTTGAACCAGTGACCTGCCATGTTACCTGCTGACCTTGGGATTGCCATTTTACCTGTTGACCTTGGGTTTATCAGCCTCAGTAGCCAGCAGCTGTGTGAGTTAGATGCCTCCAGCTCCAGTGGGTCTGGAATAAGAATGAACTGAAGCACAAGGTCAAGGGGCCTTCACCCAGCCCCTAAAGCCATCAATCTGAACTCAAACTTTTAGACTCCCAAACTAAAAGAATAAATTTCTGTGTGTTGAAGCCATCCACTTGTGGTATTTCTCTTATAGTAGCACTAGAGAATGAAGACACCAGCAATGACAAAAAGGAATAGCATCACTTTTATTGTCAAAAAGAATATTTCAAGATCTATCCTGAAGTACAATGCTGTCAATATCCATAAGCCTACAAGGAAGACCAGTTATAGAACTATTATTCAAATTTATGTACCAATCATTAAAGCCAAAGATGAAGAAATTGAAGCTTTTTACCAACTTTTGTAGTCTGAAATTGACCAAACATGCAACCAAGATGTATTGATAATTACTGGTGATTGATATGCAAAAGTTGGAAGCAAAGAAGCATCAGTAGCTGAAACTATGGCCTTGGCATGACAGAAATGCTGGAGATTGCATAGATAGAATTTTGCATGACCAATGACTTATTCATTGCAAACATCTTTTTTAAACAACATAAACAGCAACTATAACTGTGGACCACACCAGATGGAATACACAGGATTCAAATCAACTACATCTGTGGAGAAAGGTAATGGAGAAGCTCAATATCTCAGTCAGAACAGTGCTAGGGGCTGACTGTGCATGCACATTTAAGTTGAAGCTGAAGAAAATTAAAGCAAGTCCATGAGAGCCAAAATATGACCTTGAATATATTCCACTTGAATTTAGAGACCATCTGAAGAACAGATTTGACGCATTGAACACCAATGACCGAAGAACAGACAAGTTGTAGGATGACATGAAGAACATCATACATGAAGAAAGCAAAAGATCATTAAAAAGAAAGGAAGAGAAGACTAAAATGGATGTCAGAAAAGACTTCTGAAATACGCTTTTGAAGGGAAAGTAGCTAAAGCGAATGAAAGAAATGATGAAGTAAGAGATCCAAACAGAAGATTTAAAAAGGGCAGCTCAAGAGGACAAAATGCTATGAAATGTGCAAAGACCAGGAGATGAAAATCAAAAGGGAAAGGACACGCTCTGCATCTCTCAAGCTTAAAGAACTGTGTGTGTGGGGGGGAATCAAGCCTCAAGTTGCAATATTGAAGGATTCTATGGGGAAAACATTGGACAATGTGAGAAGCATCAAAAGAAGATGAAGTATGTCTTGGTTATGCTTGTGTCAGCTTGGCTGGGCCTGGTTGAGTGGCTGCGCAGTTGGTACTAGTTATTCCCCATGATGAGACTGGCAATCAACTCCATGGTGGGATCTGCCACAAGCAGCTGAGTAGCTGCTTTGGATATGTGGTCTGCTTCCCATATATAAGCAGCAGCTTTGGCAGTGGTTGCTAGCTTATGGCACCTTGAACTCTGCATGTAGCCGTGTCATTGTTCAGCAGCCTGCCATGTTCTACCAACCTGAGGACTTAAAATGGGCTTGAATTAATGGCCTTCCGTGTGGTTTGGTAACATTGGGACTATGCCTTTTCACTTGTCAATCCTGAGCTTCTCAGCCTCAGCAGCCAGCAGCTGTCTGAGTGAAGAAAAGCCTCTAGCTTCAGTGGGCCGGGAGCTGCAGGCAGAGCTGAAGCCCAAGGCTAAGGGGCTTTTACCCAGCCCCTAGAGCCTGGCACTTTGAACTTGGACTTAAAGCCTCCAAACTGTAAGAGAATAAACTCCTGTTTGTTAAGGCTATCCCATTTGTGGTATATTCTTGTCAGAGCAGCACTAGGTAACCAGAAAAAAATACACAGACTCACTGTACCAAAAAGAATTGGTTGATGTTCAACCATTTCAGGAGGTAGCATATGCTCAAGAACCAATGGTACTGAAGGAAGAAGTCTAAGCTGCACTAAAGGAATTGGCAAAAAAACAAGGCTTCAGGAATTGATGGAACACCCACTGAGATGTTACAACAAATGGATGCAGTGCTAAAGGTGCTTGCTTGTTTATGCCAAGAAATTTGGAAGACAGCTACCTGACCAACTGACTGGAAAAGATCCATATTTGTATCCATTTCAAAGAAAGGTTATCCAAGAGAATGCAGAAATTATCGAACAATATCATTAATATCACATGCAAGTAGAATTTTGCTGAAGATAATTCAAAAACAGTTACAGCAGTACATTGATAGGTGCAAAAACGGCAAGGAGGCCACATGTTCTGACCTCCCCTAATCCCACAAGAGGAAGACAGGATTACCAGCAGTAACCCAAGGTCTATTCCTGCCAGGCCAGACATGCTGCCTCCCTCCAGCCCTTTCTCCAACCGTTCCTCCCAAAGCACCCACCACCTCTCTCCTGGGTTCGATAATTCGCTGCAGTGGCCACAAAGAACTCACAAATCATGGGGTTTATTAGGGAAGCACCAGACAATTCAAGTTCAGGAAAAACGCTCAGTCTCTCTCCCAGCCCACCATCCCTCAGCCAACAGTTTCTCATAGTCTCTTTCCCAGCAGTGCTGGTCCCTCGGTGTCTCACTCAGCAATGCGTGTCTCTTGCGTCTCTTTCCCAGCAACACATGTCTCAGGAGCCTGTGTCTCTTTCAGCTTCCTCAACCAGCAGTCAGAGAGAGTTCTGCCTCTAGGAGGCCTCCTTTTGAGCCTGGCAGGGTGGTCAAACTAGCCAATCATAGCATCAGAACTCTAAGCACTTGAGAGAGAGTGGGCACCTCCCAGAACATTGTTTTGTGCCACTCCCAACAGAAATACTTCAGGTGGACAACTTCAGCAATCAGGAGCTCCTCAGTTGCCCATAGAAAATCCCACCTTGGAGTTTACAAAGACTTATGGGTAGAAAAGCCACACTAAGTAATTTACTACACCACAATAGGGAACTGCCAGAAATTCAAGCTGGATTCAGAAGAGGATGTGGGACGAGGGATATCATTGCTGATGT